AAAAAAAAAAAAAAAAAAAAAACTATCATTTTTAAAAAGATACTATAATGTAAAACATAAAGGACATTTACATTTCCCCCATTTAATCATCACAAACTATTCATGCATAGGGAAAGTTAACAGCTGTCAACTAGGAATTTTTTCCTCTAGCCTCAGTGAGATTTGCCAAAATTCTTGTAACAGTAACAGCTGAATGAGTATGTCTTCAAGAGATAAGGGTCTCAGCAGGGATACTGTACACAGATAGATGTGTGATCCAAACCACATCTCCCTGGGCATGCTCTACCTGGCTGGTGCATTGTTGACTGTCCCACCATCATTTCTGCCTGCAGCTCACTCAAATGGAAGTTCGGCACGTGGCCCCTTGGTGCTACATTTCGTCTGAGGGAATAGTCCCCGTAGCTTCCGTGTGCTGCTCTCATCTGCTCCTCAGGCTGGCTTCTCATCCTTTGTGGGCAAAATGTATCCCCGGGGGGTGAAGAACACTGGAAGCTGGTGTCCAGGTCCTCCCCCAGGCTGCGGCTGTGTTCCCTGCTCTCAGTCCTTTCTTAAAGCTAAGTAAACGTGCTGGGTAAGCCTGCAGTACATGTGAGTTTGAGTAAGTGGAACCCAAAAGCCACTCTGGTGTCTTCGGTATGACAGTAACTAAAGGACCACAGCACTTTGTCTTTCCACAGTCCAATCAGCTAAGATGTGACAAGCTACTTAGTAGATTAGGGAAAAGAATGCAAATACGAACCTGCAAAAACTCGTGACAGAATTCAGCTTTACTGTGATGTGTTACTCAGTTAACAGCCACTCGTCAGTTACGGATGGCTCACAGTAAATACTGGCTGTAAGGCAGGAAGTCACACAAGCATTTGCCAAGATTTTAATTAGAAAAAAGTGTTTTAAAAAGCATTTAGCAGAATTATACTTTGTGGGCCACACAGGTTATTGGTTCAGAATAATTTAATCAGGCCTGATAAGGTTTGTTTCCTGTGTTCCATTCTAAAGAGCATAAATATTAAATGCTTACAAAATACACTTCATTCAAAATGCTTTAAATACAAAACACAATTTGAGCACAAAACAATGCATTATGGTCTCATGGATACATTTACAAAACACTGTAATGAAAAATTAACAGCTTCGAGTAAGTAGATAATACTATACAGCTCTTGCTCAAATGACATTTTAAACAAAGGGAGAAAAAGCCCAAGCAATGTTAATTAGTGTTGTTCTTTTAGTTGTACTGAATGTGGTTAAAGAAGAAATTCTCAAATTCTTAGTAGTGGGATTAAAATTAAGTTACTTTCTAAACTGGATTAAAAGCAGCACTAAGTCTTCACAGAACTTAAGTTGTTAGAAAATTTTGAGTTTCTGGCTGGCAATATGACCAAAATATACGAGTGCAAATCACGAGCGGCGGCACGGAGATGTCCCTGAACGTTTCACATTTCATACGGATCTAGGACGGTGTTCGTTGGTATACACGTGTCATAAACTGGACTTTCTTGGCTCAACGACAAGTGTAGAAAATCATGATTCTTATAAGAATCTCTCATAAAGTCCAAGAACAAACATATTCAACAAAAAAAAATCTAAACTGTGTACTTTTGTTTCTTAAAAAAAAAAGTATAAATCAGATTTTTAACCTAGTAAGAGAAAATCCATTTTTAAAAGCCTCATAGCTGTATCCATCTTCCTGTTCAGCTGAACGGATGAAGCACAATAGCCACAACTTTGTTACAGACTAAAATCCAACAGGTAATTCCAACACCACCTGAAAATAAAGAAATTTGCCATGAGAGAGCGTGTCAGCAGTGCTGTCCACATCTGCCTCTGCCGTCATTAACTCACAGCAAAGAGAGTATTGCCATTCTTTTTGAGCAGTGCTGTGCTCAGGCAAAGTTTATATGTTTCATAGGTTCGAATTAGTCACTTTCTATAGAATCACAGGGCTGCATTCTTTACTAAGCAGGAATTGCACTCAACAGTGAACACTGGGTTGAATTTCCCTTTCCTGCCAGAGAGATGTGCATTACTATTTATGATATTAATAGATTCCAAAACCAAACCTGTAAGATTATTTATTTTCCCTTTCTCAAAAAGCATTTTAAACAAACCAATGTCTACCTATGCCGTTCTTGCCCCATCAATAATGGAGAGGCACACACATTCTCCTGTCCAGGAAGACAGGCTGCAAGAGCGGCCCATGGCCCTGCTGGATGCATGGAAGGGTGGCTGGATGCTTCTCTGGCCAGCAGCGCAGAGCTCCTGGCCTGGGCCCAGCTGTGTCAGACAAAGGAGAGGGGAAGGAAAGGGTGGGGAAGGCGACAGAGGCGGTACCTACATTGAGAGTCTTCGAAATAGTCATTCCTGGTCAGGCTCAGTGGCTCACGCCTGTAATCCCAGCACTTTGGGAGGCCAAAGCGAGTGGATCACCTGAGGTCAGGAGTTCGAGACCAGCCTGGCCAACACGGTGAAACCCCATCTCTGCTAAAAATACAAAACATTAGCTGGACATGGTGGCATGTGCCTGCAGTCCCAGCTGCTCAAGAAGCTGAGGCAGGAGAATTGCTTGAACCCAGGAGGCGGAGGTTGCAGCGAGCCGATTGCGGCACTGCACTCCAGCCTGGGTGACAGAGGGAGACTCTGTCTCAAAAAAAGACAGAAAGAAAGAAAAAGAAATAGTCATTTTTTTTGATACAATATTCACCTCTAGCATAACCACAAATCACAGCCAAAGACCAGCAAGGATGTGTGCTGCAGCATTATCTTTAAAAGTAAAAAATTAAGACCCAAATAAATACCTTTCATCAGGAAAACTTGCAAATTATGACCTACTGAATGAAGAATAGCTATTGAAAATTCCTTAATAAAGAAATCTGCTGGGCAAGGTGACTCATGCCTATAATCTTAGCACTCTTGAGAGGCTAAGGAGGGAGGATTGCTTAAAGCCAAGAGTTTGAGACCGACCTAGGCAAAAAAGCAAGACCCCATCTCTATAAAAAACATTTTTTTTAATTAGTTGAGCATGGTGGTGTGCAACTATGATCCTAACTACTCAGGAGACTTAGGTGGGAGGATCACTTGAGCCCAGGAGTTCGAGGCTGTAGTGAGCTGTGAGGGTGCCACTGCCAGCCTGGGCAACAGCAAGACTCTGTCTCAAGACAAAGAAAAGAAAGAAATTTACTGATATGGTGCTATGGAATGAATGTCTGTATGCCCCTACGATTCCTATGTTAATATGCTACCTGCTCCCAGTGATGGTATTAAGAGTTGGGACCTTCAGAGAGGTGATTAAGGGCAGAGTTCTTGTGAATGGGATTAGTGCCCTTATAAAAGAGGCCTAAAGGAGCTTGTCCTTCCACCATGCAAGGATACAGAAAGAGGACACCATCCAGGAACTGGAAAATGGGCCATCGTCAGACATCAAATCTGCTGGACTCGCCAGTCTCCAGAACAATGAGAAATAAATTTCTGTTGTTTATAAGCTACCCAGTTCATAGTACTTCACTTAGCCCAAACAAACAAAGTCATGTGGGAACAGGCTTACACTATGAAGTTAAAAACAGGTATAAAATGTTACGCATTAGATGACCTTAACTATATCAAAATTAATTGGGGGAAAAAAGACAAAGAAAAACTATCACAGCATTAAAAGCTAACAGGAATCTTATTTTTTATTTATTTATTTTTTAGAGACAGTCTCACTGTGTCACCCAAGCTGGAGTGCAGTGGCATGATCTCAGCTCACTGCAACCTCCACCTCCTGGTTTGAAGCAATTCTCCTGCCTCAGCCTCCCGAGTAGCCAGGATTACAGGTGCCCACCACCGCTCACGGCTAATTTTTTGTACTTTAGTAGAGACAGGGTTTCACCATGTTGCCCGGGTCGGTCTCAAACTCCTGAGCTCAGGCAATCCACCCACCTTGGCCTCCCAAAGTGCTAGCACTACAGGCATGAGCCACTGCACCCAGCTGGGACTTTTAAATCATAGCTATATTCCTAATCATTCTAGAGTGACATGTACTACTTTTGATATCCAAAAAAAATTATCTTCAAAAATAAAGGAATGTGGCCGGGCATGGTGGTTCATACCTGTAATCCCAGCACTTTGGGAGGCCGAGTCATGAGGATCACTTGAGGTCAGGAGTTTGAGACCAGCCTGGCCAACATGGTGAAACCCCATCTCTACTAAAACTACAAAAATTAGCTGGACTTGGTGGTGCACACCTGTAATTTCAGCTAGTTTGGAGGCTAAGGCACAAGAATTGCTTGAACCTGGGAGGCGGAGGTTGCAGTGAGCCGAGATCGCACCACTGCACTCCAGCCTGGGTGACGGAGTGAAATTCTAGCTCAAAAAAACAAAACAAAGCAGGGCCGGGCGCGGTGGCTCACGCCTGTAATCCCAGCAATTTGGGAGGCCGAGGCTGGTGGATCACAAGGTCAAGAGATCAAGACCATCCTGGTCAACATAGTGAAACCCCATCTCTACTAAAAATACAAAAAATCAACTGGGCATGGTGGCGCGTGCCTGTAATCCCAGCTACTCAGGAGGCTGAGGCAGGAGAATTGACTGAACCCAGGAGGCAGAGGTTGCGGTGAGCCGAGATCGCGCCATTGCACTCCAACCTGGGCAACAAGAGTGAAACTCCGTCTCAAAAAAAAAAAAACAAAAACCAAAACAAAGCAAAAAGAAAAGAAAATAGCCAAGAGCAGCAAGTGCTACAGAGAGGACAGCCATAATAGGGACTGAAAAGACACAGAATTTTGGAACAACAGCTAGTGTTTCAAGGGGGTGTCAGACTTGCCGTATTGGGCATGAATCCTGGAAACAGAAGTCGGACTGAATTCCAGCTTTGCTCCTTAACATTCTGGTGACACCGGACAGCTGAAGTAACTTTCCTAGACCTGTTTCTTCACGGCATGAGACACAAAACCCTGCTCACTAAATAGACGGTGAGGAGGATGTCAGGCTAACTTAATCTACTACACACTTCTACATAAGCCTATCCACTCTCTTCCACTGTATCTTCCAGAAAATTCTTACCTGCTACTCTAGTAGGAAAGGCTACCAGGCGGTCTAGAGGGGTTATCCATTTACTCGGCACGACAGCCACAGGAACAGAATAGTACTTCCAAATGAGTGAGATCATCAGGGCAGCCTGGAAAGACACCTCTGGTGAGTGAAGCAGCCTGCCAACCACACAACCCACAACGCAACAGGAAGACGGGGAAATGCAAAAGCAAAACCAGGAAAACCCTCCAGACTGAACCACCTCAAGCCTTGTGAACCCAGCCGCCACAGATGACAGATGAGCACGCACAGCCACTAATGTCCCCTGGTGAAACCGTGAAGTAGGAAGTGCAATTAAAGACGAGCTTGACAGCATGTCTGGAACACTGCCAGCAAGTAGGCAAGCCTTCACAGGGGAACTGTCATTTCACTGTTTTAGGATGAATATCTACACATACTTCAAATCAGCTCATAAACTAACCAAAGTCTCCCATAACACGGGTGTGCTTTCCTCACTGAGTATCTCCTTTGAGTAGCTGGACTGTATGCAAAATATACCTTATTAGTGACAACAGCCATCCTTGAAATAAACAGCGAATTTCCCATATACACCAGTGTTAGCAAGGCACGCAGAGGTGAGCATGTAAGTTTCAATGCTAGGGGATGCTTTATTTCCCTCCTTCCCCCAGCAGCATTCCTTCAACTGTCACCTGTCCCCTTTCTGGCTTGAACAGGCCACTCAGAAGAGGAGACATGGAGGAGGGACGGAAGAAAAAAAAGAAGAGAAGACATGAAAGAGGGCTGCCGGCCTAACTGCTCTGCCTGCAGGAAACCTCTCTTAGCAAGTGACAGTGCCTCAGGATCAATTTCCTTAAATATAACCCCGCAAACTAAGTTTTCTGGGGGTGGGCTGGAATCCTCCGACTCACTACTAGATCACACAGTACTGCAACTCAGATGTTTACGGCAGCTGCTGAAGGTGTCTGGGCAGCACAAATGCGTTCTCGGGCCAAAGCAGAGCCCAGCAACAGCTCCAGGAGACGCCACGTGGGTTAAGCCTCATACAGGAAACCAGAAGCCAATTCCGGTCAGAAAACCTGGTTCTCTACCAGGAGAGTGGAGTGCCCATGAAGTAGACCAGTTACCGAGTAAGGGCCAAAATGATTGAAAATCTCAGAAAAAAACAAAGTCATCTCTAAGCTTCTCATCGCGTCCTGCCAGCCCTTCAAACCGCACTGGGATAAAGGTATGGCGGAAGCTCTCCAAGAAGTTACTTCACAATTCACCTGCCAAAAAGTCCCAAACTTTAACAACTCTCCTCTAGAGAAAGGCTTTCTGACTTAGAGAGCATTCAGAGCTCCATGTGGGCGGGACCACACAACACAACAGCTGAAGGTGGAACAGCCCCAACTCCTGGCCTGGATCTGCAGGCACCGCTCGAGGCCCGGGGTCCCCAACTCCAATAACCCGGGTGACGCTCTAGCACACTTACCTGCAATACGTAGAAAGCCACACTTATCACCCATTTTATCTTGGCTAATTGAGCTGTCCGAGCTTTTACTGAAAGGAAAAATAGGATAAATAATTATGTCAGTCCTGAAAAATTAATGAAATATTCAAATACACAGAAGTGTTATTTTCCCTTATAAAATAGTTTTATAAGGGAACAATCACTCAATATATTGATGGAATAATCACTCAATATATTTAGAAAATATAAAATAGAATTTTTTAAGTCACCTACTATCTCATTATGCCATTATTTAAAATAGAATCACACTCAGATTATGAGATTTGAATACCTTTAATTTTGAAAACTCTTAAAATGACTCATGGAATGAAAGGTTCTTTGTATAATGCAGTTACCCCTTACCAACAGGAGTAAATTTCCCCCCGTTTCCCAGTCTGCATAGTATATGAATCCCTGGTGGGAGTCCAGCTTGTCCTGTGCCTGGACAGGCCCCTCTGTCTGTTTTCCTGGCCACAGAGACAGCTCTCCGACTGTGCACACACCAACAGGGTCCCTCAGCACATGGGCTGCCCTGAGAAAGCCCTCTTCATCACAGGAGACTGTACCTGAAGGCTACCCCCGGAAGAGAACACTGCTGGGCATTTTTCCAGAGAGTGGAACAAAAGCCTCTGGGAATCCACTGTGAGACTTTTTTCTGGGCTTCTCTCAGAAAAGTGATGAATTTGAAAATGAAAACCCAGGTCAGGCATGGTGGCTCACGTCTGTAATCCAAGCACTTTGGAGGCCAAGGCGGGCGGATCACCTGAGGTTGGGAGTTCAAGACCAGCCTGACCAACAAGGTGAAACCCCGTCTTTAAAAATATAATAATAAATAAATAAAAAGAACATGAAAACCTACAATAACAAGTTGGCTCTGAGGAAAATCTGAGAGGATCTTAGATGTTTCTGTGCTTAAAAAGCAAAGGTTCACCAGCAAATAAGGAGAAAGTAGTAATTATTACTGAGTTTCCACCAGATAACTTAAAAGTTTCCATCAACATTCAGAACATCAAGCAGCAAAGCGTGTATTCTAGGAATCTTTATATAAAGACTTCTCTATTAATCGGTTCTCGTGAAGCCTTCAGGCTGCGACAGATGCAGTACCATGGGTTTTGAGCTTATCCGTCATCTTGTTGATCTTTCTTTCCAGTCTGGCATATCTGGCAAATTCGTCCATCATGTTGACCGTGGAGAGCTCCTGCTTCATGTCCTGGATCTCCGCTCTCATCTGTGACTCCTGCTCCGCATCCTTCTGCAGCACCCTGGACATCTGGCAGGGTGGACAGCGGGATCAGCACCTTCCAACACGGCCTACAGGAGGGTACCCCAGTCCCCCACACCGAACCTTATTTCTATGCCCTGACCACTCTGTGACCCAGCCAGTTGTGTGTTTCCCTGCAGGCTTGAACCCAAACTGGGGCCACAAATGTTCCCAGGACCGATAAAGAGATAAAGAGTGAAGGCTGTTGCTGGAGAACACTGGGAGATTCACCCTGCTGAGAAACACCTACAAACTCGCCCCGCATGACGAAGTCCTTAAGCTCCTACATCCACTCCATAACCCAATGCCCTGGCAGCAAACATCCCTAGCTAAACGTCCCTTGCTCTCACTGGTCGTCCCAGGACTGCTGCAGCTCCTTGTAAGTTCCCTTCAAATGCTGTGGACTGATCATCCTGGCGTTTAGTGCTTCTTTCTTTGGAATCCCAGCCAGCCCCATCTCCAGACAGCCTGGAGCAGCCCCTTGAGGGAACTCCCCTGCCACTGCTTTTGAGGGGGCTCCAGCATGGGTTTAGCCAGACAGAACTGATATACCTCCCTCCAATATCCTACTCCCACCTCTGCGAACTGGGCAAGCTGCCCTCTACCTACACAGCCAGGCTCTGCTGCCTTTTACGGCTCCCTATAACCACCACAAAAAAAAAAAAAAAAAAAAAACACCTCGGATTCAAATTGCTATTCAAACTATATTTTTCATTTTGCAGATATGCCCATGAATTGCTCCAATACAAATGTATGTCTCTTTCACTATAACTAAAATTGAAGTTATGAAATGAAAATCAATTCCATCAGAGCTGTTATTCCAGTGACAGGGAACATGTATCCTCTCCTCTCCCTGAAGAATTCAGACCTAGATTACACAGGGCAGAGCAAGATGCAGGCGCAGGGTAACAGTGGTGAGGTGGGGCGCAGGGCAGAGTGTCAGCACCCAAGCGCAGTGCAGAGGGCCTTCCCATAGAGTGGCACCCTGGCAAGAGGCATCAGCACCAAGCATGGTGATACAGGAGTCCCCAATAAAGGGCAGCCTGACTCAGGAGTCAGGGTCTGTAAGGTGAGGGGGATGGACATATAAGATGAGAAGGAACCCTGCCAGTATCAGAGCCCAGGTGGGACGAAGTGTGCATTCACACGGGTAACACCAGAACTTACTTACAAAGAGGGGATCACGGAAACAAAAACATTGAGGGTAATAGAAGCCAGTCTTCTCACTTTCAGCAAAAACACTTAGAAAGATGCCTCAGCCCGGCACGGTGACTCAGCCTGCAACCCTAACAGGCTGGGAGGCTGGGATGGGAGGATCTCTTGAGTACAGGAGTTCAAGGCTGCAGTGAGCTGAGATCATGTCACTGGACTTCAGCCTGGGCAACAGAGTGAGACCTTGTCTCAAAAAAAAAAAAAAGAAAAGAAAAGAAAAAGAAAACAGAAAAGAAGGCCAGGTGCGGTGGCTCACGCCTGTAATCCCAGCACTTAGGGAGGCCAAGGCAGGTAAAGCACTTGAGCCCAGGAGTGTGAGAGCAGCTTTGGCAACATGGTGAAACCCTGCCTCTACAAAAAATACAAAAATTAGCCAGTTTCATAATCCAGTCTCTAAATAAATAATTTTAAAAAACAAAAGAAAGAGAGAGAAAGGAAGGAAAGAAAAGAAAAAAAACAGAAAAGAAAGTCAGTCAGTCAGTCTCAGAGAGGACCAGAATGCATCTTGTGGTGATGAAAATCTGTGGTTTCCACAGATAGGCAGAGAAATACAGAAGTAAACAAAGAGGTGCCCTCCCCAGGCACCCTCCCCAGGCACCCTCCCCTGGCTGCTCCCTGTGAGCAGAGGGGCCCTGTATGACCTGGGGACCCGCCTGCGCCGCCCATGCAGTCCCCTGTTCCCCGCACCAGCCCCAACCTTCCACTCTACAGGGAACCGCCCCAGGCCAAGGCCACGGGAGGGAAAGTGCGACTGGAGCACAACGAGTCGGCAGTGGCCGCCAGGTGGCGCCCGCCGACCTGCCGGGAAGGCCTAGTCCAGGGACTGCGCAGCGCCCCAGAACCAGGTCTAAAAACCCTCGGAGACGCCTCTGCCACCTGCCCCAAGGGATCAGCGAACATCCTCAAATCGCAGTCCCACACAAGCAGATGAGACACAATGAGAATACAGCACTATCTCTCAGATACCCCTGCCAAGTATCAGACATGCCAGCAGGCGTCCATTCTGGGAAATCAATGTCCTCTAATACTCAGAAATGACAGCCACGAAAGTCGAGAGAAGACCGAGAAACTCCTCCAGACAGAAGGAGACGAGAGGGAAGGAAATGCAAGGCGTGATTCCAAACTAGGTCTTTTTCCTGTTAAGGACGTTACTGCAACACGTGGGGAACCTGCATAGGGCCTGAGGATCAGATCGTTGTAATGTACTTGATGCCTGTATTATGGCTCACTGCAACCTGGACTTCCTGGGCTCAAGCGATCCCCCCATCTCGGTCCCATGAGTACCTAGGACCACAGGCGTGCACCACTACACGTGGCTAATTTTTTTTTAATTTTTAGTAGACACAGGGTCTCACTATGCTGCCCGTGAACTCCTGAGCTCAAGCGATCCTCCCACTTCGGCCTCCCAAAGTGCTGGGATTACAGGCGTGAGCCACCGCGCCCGGCCCCCAAGATTCTTCTGCATACCCAACTATCTGGAAATGAGGGGGTCCCGGCTGACAACTTCCAAATGGGTCAGGAAACAAAAGCAGTTCTTTGTATTGATTGTATGCATAACTCTTCTGCACATTTGTATTTGATTTGAAATTAAAAAAAAAAAAAAATTAAAAAAAAAGATGAAATGTTATATAGCGTATCTAAAGTGTGCCTGGCACACAGCAAGCGCACACTACATGAGTTCCCCCACCTTCCAGCTCACAGCCCCCCTCCACCTGCCGCAAAGTAGGGGCAACTCTCCAGTTAGAGCTGTAAAGGTGAATCCGGTCACCTGAGGGTGTCTGCGCATGCCCAAGTTTGTGGGCCGCCCACTGAAGCCTCCTAACAGCGCCTGTGCAATGTGTTCGCTACCGCGCAGTTTCTGGCAGGCCTTGTGCAGGGAGTAGGGGGGTCTTCAAATCCAGCTCTCTTTGTGGTGCCTCTGCCCTGGCCACTACCCAACACTCTAACTAAATGAGCTATATATACTCCAGCCTGATCCACTCTGGAGAAAGAAATAGGAATGGGCCAAATTCTTAGATGAAATCATAAAATTTTTCAAAAGCAAGGAAAATCTACAGACGCTGCTAAGAACTTTTGATAATATCACCTTATACAAATTACACTTCAATAAATCTGACTTTTAAAACCATATTTTAAAAAGAAAAAGAGGTTTCAAGACATTATTTGCCATTATAGGGTATACACAAAACTCAGGAATGCGAGGTGAGTGAAGGCAGAAGGGTGAACTTGAGGAAAACTGAAGGCAGCTTTTTAAGGTTAGCAAAAAAAACGGTGCTTGAAAAAAGTAATTACATCTATTACATGTATAAGCACAATAAAAGTCTGAGCCAGGCGTGGTGGTTCACTTCTGCAATCCCAGCACTTTGGGAGACTGAGGCAGGAGGATCGTTTGAGCTCAGGAGTTCCCGACCAGGCTGGGCAACGCGGCAAGACCCTATCTCTACAGAAAAATTAAAAATTAGTCAAGCATGCTAGTACATGCCTGTGGTCCCTGTGACCCCAGCTACTTGGGAGGCTGAGGGTGGGGAGGGGGGAATCGCTTGAGCTTGGGAAGTTGAGACTTCTGTGAGTTATGATGGCACCACTGCACTACAGCCAGGGCAACAGAGACCCTGCGTATAAAAAAAAAAAAAAAAAGTTTTAAAGTATAAATTTGCAAATATGTATCAATGTTAATCCAAGAGCCACATACAAATGTTAAAATGTTCTAGAATTACACAGTGTAAGATTTAATAAGATATGAATCTAAATGTAATAATGCAAATATTAATTTTTACAACAAAAGTAAATCTCTGGAGTCTTTTTATGTACTCAAAACCCACCTTCCAGACCATTAAAACTCACAGTTGGCAAAAACAAGCTGTACAGGGCACAGCCTTTCAAGGACCTGTAGATAGGCCACAAGACATTCTGAAGCAGAAAATGAGTTTATAAAATTCTTAACAAGATGACTCAGGCATGGAGGAAAAAAGGGGAGAACCAATTCTCCCGTCCACCTTAGAAAGATGCTGGAAGCCCATCTGTCTCAGCTCATAATGTCCTTCTGCCACTGTCAGCCGCAGATCCTGTCCAGGTTCAATGTCCTCTTTGCCAACAGGCAAAATGCCGAGGCTTGACTTTGGGGTCACCCTGGAGAGATTCAAACTCCCACTCCACCTCTCTCACTCCCTTGCTGGCAATTAACTGATGACATGACAAAGTGCACAGCCCCTGCTTGTCCCTGTCAGCAGTAGAGTAGGCAAACCCAGGAATCACCAACTCAGGTCACCCTGAGGTCCCCGACCACAGGGGACAAAGACCTCCAATCCAAGAAACTCCAGACCCTAAACACCCCTAGATGCCATTCTCAGCCAGGATCCCCACCAGCCAGGACCGAGAAGGGGGCAGCTCCCCAGGCTGCCAGGGCCCCTATCCTTGGCTGCTGCCCCCGCGAGAGCCCCACAGGAAGCCCTGCCTGCACATGCGCATTTCACCAGCACGCTTCTCAGTCTGAGGGCTCTGGGGCAGGTCCTGTGACGCAGAGCGTCGTCCCTCTAAACTAATACTTGAGACCATCCCCAAGCCTGGTCCCTGGCAGAGACTCACTAAGCAACTGCTCTGAGGAAACGGGTATGGGGGCGGGTTGCTCTAAGGAAGACGACCACAGAGGCAAACCCTGCAACATCCTCCTCTTGCTTCAGTCCCCTAGAGGGAAAAGAAGTGGCCACTCTTTATAGCAGAAAGTGAAGGATAATTTAGAAAATGTTACATCTGAAACGGTGCTCGGCCCCATAAACCTAAAAGGCAACCCGCGAAGCATCCTTTTTCTGCAAAGCTAGCGCTGCAAGGAAGGGCCTCCTGGCGCCTGCGCAGCGCATACGGCTTGCAAGAACCCTTAGCCTGCCCCAGTCCTGGGGCACCTGCACAGTGCGTGTGGTTTGCATGGACTCTGAGCCCGCGCCAGTCCTGGGACGCCTGCGCAGTGCATGCTGTTTGCATGGAACTTGAGCCCGAGCCAGTCCTGGGACGCCTGCGCAGTCGTCCGGTTTGCATGGACTCTGAGCCCGTGCCAGTCCTGGGACGCCTGCGCAGTCGTCTGGTTTGCATGGACTCTGAGCCCGCGCCAGTCCTGGGACGCCTACGCAGTGCATGCTGTTTGTATGGAACTTGAGCTGGCTCCAGTCCTGGGACGTCTGCGCAGTGCATGCTGTTTGCGTGGACCTTGAGCCCGAGCCAGTCCTGGGACGCCTGCGCAGTCGTCCGGTTTGCATGGACTCTGAGCCCGTGCCAGTCCTGGGACGCCTGCGCAGTCGTCTGGTTTGCATGGACTCTGAGCCCGCGCCAGTCCTGGGACGCCTACGCAGTGCATGCTGTTTGTATGGAACTTGAGCTGGCTCCAGTCCTGGGACGTCTGCGCAGTGCATGCTGTTTGCGTGGACCTTGAGCCCGAGCCAGTCCTGGGACGCCTGCGCAGTCGTCCGGTTTGCATGGACTCTGAGCCCGTGCCAGTCCTGGGACGCCTGCGCAGTCGTCTGGTTTGCATGGACTCTGAGCCCGCGCCAGTCCTGGGGCACCTGCGCAGTACATGCTGTTGACCTGGACCCTGAGCCAGCGCCAGCCCTGGGGCGCCTGCGCATTGCGCCTCCCCTGCACCTGCAGAGCCGGTGCTCACCAAAGGCGTCTTTGTTCCCTTCCTATACCTGAAGAAAGTCCCGGACCACGTACTGAATGAACTGGGCTCTCTCAACCATGCGTCCTGTGCCTAGCTTGAAGAGCAGGAAGAGATCCCCAGGAAAATTCGAACCACGCCAACACTAGGCATCCCACCCCCACCGCAGTGGGCAGCTGAGATCACTTCCCAGGACCTTGCGAGGCTTAACCGGCCCAAGGACTTCTGATACTTCAGACCTTCTAAGGGGCCTCACGCGGGGAGGATCAGTGCGGCCTAAACTTGCTGATGAGATCAGTAGGCTCCCTCCCTAACTTCTGCCAGGACAAAAGCTTCAGAAACAATCCCAAGGGAGGTTGTAATCTAAGTACCTGAGCATGGCCCCATCCCTGAGGGCACTGTTTTCCCAATTCGACTTTTTGTCGCTTGTCATGAGTCCTTCCCACTTAAATCCTCAAATCCGTGGCTGTGATGAGGCAGCCTCTGATGATGGTGAAGAAGCAACACTTGACCCTACTCAAGACCAGCAAGCTCCTTAAAGCTTTTTACAGACCTCACCACAAACCCAGTGACCAGGCCAAACATCTCTGTTACCAATTTTATGCGGGGGCAGGGTGTACTCTGCTAGGATATTATGTTGTCCTTCTGAGCCTGGCTGACAAGTGTTACACCCAAAGGGAAATGGGTTTAAGAAAGCTAACTACGTTGAGATTAGAGAGGCCATAAGCTTGTAGGAGGCAGGACTGGATGTGGACACAGGTCCTGAGTCACAAAGCAAGACCCTGCCTCTAAAAACAATTTTTTTTATTCCAGAGGATGGAGGGTGGGAGGAGGGAGAGGATCAGGAAATATAACTAATGAGTACTAGGCTTTATAACTGGGTGACAAATAATCTGTACAAAGAACTCCCATGACACAAGTTTAACTATGTAACAAACCTGCACATGTACCCCTGAACTTAAAACAAAAGTTTAAAAAAAAAAAATTGTTGGCCAGGCACAGTGGCTCATGCCTGTAATCCCAGTACTTTGGGAGCCCGAAGCTGGTGGATCACCTGAGGTCAGGAGTTCAAGACTAGCCTGGTCAACATGGTGAAACCACCCCTCTACTAAAAAAAGACACAAAAATTAGCTGGGTGTAGTGGCACATACAGGCAGAAGAATCACTTGAACCCAGGAGGCGGGGACTGCAGTAAGCCACAATCACACCATTGCATTCTAGCCTGGGCAACAGAGAGAAACTCTGTCTCAAATACATATATATAATAACAATAAAAGGAACTAAACAACAAAAAAAAACAAACAACTGGATTTTAAAAGGGGGCAAAAGATATGACTAGACATATCTCCAAAGATAAACGGATGGCCATAAGCATCTGAAAAGATATTCAACATCACTAATTATTAGGGAAATGCAAATCAAAACTAAAATGAGACACCACCTTCCATCCATTAGGATGATTAGTATATTAACAACAACAACAACAACAACAAAAAGGCTGGGTGCGGCGGCTCATGCCCACAATCCCAGCACTCTAGGAGGCTGAGATGGGCGGATCACCTGAGGTCAAGGGGTTCGAGACTAGCCTGGCCAATATGGCTCTCATCTCTACTAAACCCCATCTCTACTAAAAATACAAAAAATTAGCTGGGTGTGGTGGCACGCACCAGTGATCCCAGCTACTTGGGAGGCTGAGACAGGAGAATTGCTTGAACTCGAGAGGCCGAGGTTGTAGTAAGCCAAGATTGAGCCACTGCACTCCAGCCTGGGTGACAGAATGAGACTCCATCTCAAAATAAAAATAAAAATAAAAAAATTTAAATAAATAAGAAAACAAAATACATGTTGAAGGATGTGGAGCAACTGGAACCCTTCTGCACTGCCGGTGGGAATGTCGAATGGTGTGGCTGCTATGGAAAACAGTACGACAGTTTCTCAAAAAAGTTAAACATAGACTCACCATAGATCCAGCAATTACACTTCTGGGTGTATGTCCAGAAAAAATGAAAGCAGAGACTCAAAGAGATATTTGTAAACATTTTAGCATTACCTACAATAGTCAAAAGGTAGAAAAAACCCGGGTGTCCACAGACGGATGAATGAATAAACAAAATGTGGCTTATACACACAATGAGATACTATTCAGCCTTAAAAGGGAAGGAAATCAAAAGGAAAAATACTGTCTGATTCCCCATATATGAGGTCCCAAAAGTAGTTAAATTCATAGAGACAGGAAGTACAATGGTGGTTGTCAGGAGGAGGTAGGAATGGAAAGTAGTTGTTTAATGGGTACAAGAGTTTCAGTTAGAAGAGATGAAAAAGTTCTTGGATGGGGTGGGGCGTGGTGACTCATACCTGTAATCCTAGCACTTTAGGTGGCAGAGGAGGGTGGATCACTTGAAGTCAGGGGTTCGAGACCAGCCTGGGCAACATAGTGAGACCCCCATCATCTCTACTAAAAATACAAAATTTAGGCATGGTGGCAGGTGCCTGTAATCAAAGCTACTTGGGAGGCTGAGGCAGGAAAATCGCTTGAACCTGGAAGGTGGAGGCTGCAGTGATCTAAGATCAGGCCACTGTACTCTAGCATGGGCAACAGAGTGAGACTCTGTCTCAAAAGAAAAAGTAAAAGTTCTAGGAGTGGGGGCCGGGCACAGTGGTTCACATCGGTAATCCCAGCATTTTGAGAGGCAAAGGTGGGCAGATGGCTTGACTAGGGAGTTTGAGACCAGCCTGGCCAACACGGCAAGCCTCCATTTCTATCAAAATTACAAAAAATAGCCAGGCATGGTGGTGCATGCCTATGGTCCCAGCTACTTGGGAGGCTGGGGTGGGAGGATCACTTGAACCTGGGAGGCAGAGGTTGCAATGAGCCGAGACTATGGCTGCACAGAGCTACACCGTCTTAAAATAATAATAATAATAAAGTTCTGGGATAATGGTTACACAAAACTGTGAATGTACTTAATGCCACTGAGCTGTACACCTAAAAACGATAAAGATAAGCTTCATATTATGTGTATTTTACAGTTAAAAATAAGAAGAAACATGAGTATGGGCCAGCTTGTCAAAAGTCTTTTATGCAATGCTAAGGACCTGGAACATCATGCTAAAGACTGGATAGCATGAGGAAAGATTCTGAAGGCGGCTCAGGGGGTAAAAGAGAATTCCCTATATCTCAGAACAGTGCAGACAATAAGGCAATGAAGACAGTAAGAATAGTTTTGCACAAAACAAGCACTCAGTGAACACTGATGGAATAAAACATACTCCACTACTACCGATTTATCTTAGGAGAGAGAAGCAAGAACTGTGTTCCAAGACAATGCTCCTCATTCCTTCTGTGGGCTACACAGGGCGCTCATTTCCAGGGACAGTTCCCAATGTCCCCACACCTCCCATGCCAACACCCCACCACGCCCCATCCAATTTGCCACCAAATCCCTCTCCCTGCTCCAACAGGCAATCTAATCTCCACCACCAGTCACTAGGTGGATGATTTCGTGCAACTACTAAATTCTCTGAGCCAGACTCCTCCGGGAGGTAAAGGAGGATGCAATGATAATACTCTCCTCTCCCAGCAGCCGTGACACGGAGGAAATGTATTCACTGCCTGAGCAAAACGCCTGACAGAAAGAGGGTGCTCCCCAAGCTGGTTGCTCCCTTGGATACTGAAAGCATCACGCTGTGCTGAGATTCACTCTGCACCTGTCTCCCACCCTACCCACCCCAAGAATGTGGCCTTCTGGACGCGAGGATCCATCTCTCCGGCACCTGGAACAGCTGACATCGCCCGCCAGGCTTCTGGGAAATCCTGGCCGGGGGCTGCTCGAATGCCTCTAGGGACCGGGGTTAACGGAAACGAGTGAGGCTGGCAGCGGGGCACTAGGCACTCCCAGTGTGAGATTCGCCGCCGCCACCCAGCCAGAAGATTCCTGCCACGTGGAAGCGTGGCCCAGGGTTGCCGGGTGTTTCTCCTGCCAACCCCCTAGAACCCAGATAGTCTGAAGATTAGGAATTAGTAAATAGATTGTAGGTAAAGTTTCACCCCTTTTAGACGCTAGCAACTATCTCAAAAGAGCTTACAGACCAACCGAGACGCTGCTACGGGCTGAATCTGGCCTTCGGTCTCCCATTTGAGAACCTTGTACCTACGCCAGACCAGTCGGAGGACTGGGGCGGCGTCCCCACCGGCCCTTGGGAGGCCTGGCAACCACTTACGAAGGATGAGAAGGACGGGAGGAGGATCCTAAGAACATTGCACCCAAACACAAAACTGAGCACCAACAACCACGCCCAGTGGTCCGCCGCAGCTGAGCTCATCCCGAACGCTCCTGGCTGCGCTGGGTCCGCTACGGCAGCTCCATGGGGACCACGCCGGCGGCGGCGTCCGCGCCTGCGCAGTGAAGCCCGGCGCCCCAGCCCGGCGCCCCAGCCCGGCGCCCCGACGCGCCTGCGCATTCCGTCGCCCTCGCGGGAGGCATTTTCCTCCCGCTCCCGCCGGAGCAGTTAACGCGTTCCAGGCTCCTCCTGGGCCTTCAGGGCTTCCATAGCCATCTCGCACCCGCTCCCCGCCCCGCCCCGCCCCGCCTACTGAACCAGTTTTTCGAAGTCCGTGATTCTTTCTTTCCTTCTTTTTGAAATTAAAAACTTTTCCATAGTAGCAAACTCTGGTTTCAAGTGCTAACGGCTCCCTGCCTTTGTCATAATTAGTGCCTCCTTTAAATTAACTTTTAATTCTAGGTAAGTTTAAGATAAACTCTTCCTTAAATAGAAAACCACCGTAATTATAGTAACAGGTAACTGAAAATGAAATACGTGTTCTAAGCAGTTATATGGTAAATGCCTTACGTTTCCAGAACTAAACACTGTAGTAAATCTAACCAATTTACATAACTGCATACCTGAAAAATAAGTTTATTAGCATGCACTGTTGACAATCATGAGTAATAATAAAGTAACCTGAATCTAGCTGAAGATCAAGTTTTGCAGCAAAGGAATCCCAACTCGAATGTATGCATGGTGGATAAAGCAAGAGATGTTTAGCTGTCTCTTCTGCCATGACTGGTTTCTGAGGACTAATTCCTAATCAAAATGATGCAGGATTACGGGGTGTGCTGGCTCAAGCCTGTAATCCCAGCACTTTGGGAGATCCAAGCAGGTAGATTACGGGCCCAGGAGTTTGAAACCAGCCTAGGTAACATAGTGAGAGCGCATCTCTACAATAAAATATAAAAATCAGCCGGGCACTGTGGCACGTGACCGTGGCCCCGCTCCTAGGAAGGCTGAGATGAAAGTATCGCCTGAGCCCTGGAAGTCAAGGTTGCAGTGAGCTGTGATCACACCACTGTGCTCCATCCTAGACGACGGAGTACAACTCTGGCTCATTATTATGAATCAGTGAAAAAAATTATGGGGCCAGGCTTGGTGGCTCACGCCTGCAATCCCAGCACTTTAGGAAGCTAAGATGGGTGGATCACCTTAGGTCAAGGGTTCGAGACCAGGCTGACCATCATGGCAAAACTCTGTCTCTACTAAAAACACAAACATTAGCCGGGCGTGGAGCAGGTGCCTGTAATCCCAGCTACTCAGGAGGCTGAGGCAGGAAAATCGCTTGAACTTGGGAGGCAAAGGTTGCAGTGAGCTGAGATTGTGCCACTGCACTCCAGCCTGGGC